ACTACTTTAATGTGTAAATTCGTCCTTTATCCGACTAATAGTTGACAGGGTTTTGATACTTTTTCAGACAGATCTCCCATCCCTACAATTTTAATTAAGACCAGGGGAGTAAGTGACGATATTTTAAAAGAGTTAGGAAACTTCACTTGAAAGGCAACAGTAAGTTTGCTAAAATAATGTACTGCAAGCCAAATGATTTGAAAATGCAGCCAAGTATATATCAGGAGGCAAAAGATATTATAAAATTTTGTTTACCATGATGAGCATACCATATATATCTACGACGACATTTGGCATAAAAAACATCAGAACAATAACTAGAAACCAAATAATCATCTTCCCCATCCATCCTCCATGATGCCAAGAATCTCGTCGATCGTTCTGGTCTTTCACACCAATCATTATTATGGCAAGCACCACGAAAAACAGGAAATTCCCCAAGCTGACCCGAAGAACTGTACTTGTTTGGTACCACTCTTTCGTATGATCAGCATTGTTAATCCCTTCAAGGTCAAATCAATTTGATATGTCAGAGTGTCAGACACAGGTGTAAGACACAAAGTTAATTCAGCAGGCATGCAGACATTATATCTAGCTCACATCTTCTATCTCGAGCTAAAAATTAAGTCCTAAACATGCACATGGATACATCCCAACAATTTGCCCGAATTATAGTGATTATGCTGATACAGATATAACTCTTCACATTTCCTAGATCTGCGTGAAATTATACGAAGTATATAGTTGTGGTTGTTTTCACCTGCCACATGTTTCTTGTTGTTTCTACTTTTTTTCCAATATTACAGTATCACCAAATACTTCCTCCATTTTTATATAGTTGCAGCATTTTTATTTTCACACTTGTCAACGCACAACTTCAACCATTAAAATCTTTAGTTACTCAAAAAAAAATCTTACCAATGTTGATGGTCTGAACGTATATGTTGAGGTGTATCTAACAAGATCTCATATGACTATGTCTTTCCCTATGTCACCAAATATAGTCATAGTAGAGGTTGCAAATAGTGTAAAGGTGCAACTAAAAAAACAGAGGCTTTATGGTTACCCTCATATGTTCTACTTCAACCAATCCCATTCTTGGATTCACAATAAACACATCAACAAATTGCTGAATTCTGAATAATCTTGTTTGCAAAGCCTGGATGTTGGGAAACATGACCCATTTACGGCGAAAAAGGGGGAGGGGGTTTCCACATCCCAACTACTAGTGGCCAGGAAACAAAAGACTACTAGTGCCAAAGGAACTCGCCAACTGGTTAACTATCAGAAAGGATCATAATCAAGTTAGAATTTCAGGTTCAACTCTTAAGATTTTAAATCCCCACATCATTATGCCTACACCCCTGGTATGAGCTCTTGATACTCCATACATCCCTAATTTATACTCCTGCTTATTTTGATAACGATTGCTTTAAATAAATTCAATTGAAATATCATAAGTTCATAACTAACCTTCCCTCTTTAAAGTTTCACTTCTCAATCATACCAAAGAAGATAAATCCTTTGCTTCAAGTTTTCAGTTAATGAATTCATGAAGTATAATATGAATGTGGTTGCTTAATGCTTACACCTGCCATTTCTATCTTGTTGATCCTACTTTCTACCAGACTTCCAGTGTCACCATATACTTTCCCCGTTTTTAATAGTTGCAAATTTCTATTTTCACACTTATCAATGCATAATTCAACCATTAATATCTATAGTTATTGAAAAGTAAATTTTTTACAAAGTTGATAAACTGAAAATATATGTTGAGGTGCATCCAAAAAGATCCCATCACCGATGACAGTCATTATAGTGTGTGTGAATAGTGTATAAGTGCAACTAAGAAAATTGGAGGCATTAGTCTATACCCTAAAAATGTTCTACTTCAACCAACCCCCTTGGGTTCACCATAAATCCATCAACCAAGTGTGCTGAATTCTGAAAAGTCTTGTTTGCAAAGCCTGCATTTTGAGAAACATTCCCCACTTAAGGGTGCAAAAGGGGGAGAGGGTTTCTCAACCCAATCATTGGTGGCCAGGAAAAAAAAAAGACTACTAATGCCAAAGGAAACCCACCACTAGTCGGTCAACAATTGGAGAAGATCAGAATGAAGTTTGAATCACGGGTTCATCTCTTAAGTTTTAAAATTCCCGCATCACTATGCCTCCACCCCTGAAAACAGCTCTATATCTGCAACCCATCGGCCACAGCCAAGATATATAAAAGATACTCCCTGCATTCCTAATAAATACTTCGTAAGTCATACTCCGTATTTAATTAAAAAAAATAATTCATTTTTAAGATATTTAATAGATTATCATAATTAACCTTCCCGATATGAAGTTTACTTCCCAATCATGCCAAAGATTTTCTTGCTAATTTGCTTCAAGTTTTCAGTTAATGAATATATCAGGTGTAATATAAAATTTTAAAAATTTGAACTTCCTACAGAAAATAACCTAATTTTATAAGACGGCTTCAGTTAGAATTATCGCCTACAATATAACGAATCATTTGATCAAATATACAAAATCCATGCCACGAAACCATTCTTCTGTCACAATGCAGATACTATTGTTCCAAACTGCATTAGCTCAAGCACAACTCAAATTCTTCCGATTGTGATAGCCTAACTAAGGGTATAACCCCCCTTTTTTAGCATGTTGCTTTCCTTATGCCTAAATTAGCCAGCCATATTTATACCATTTGCAACATGCGAAGACTATTATCATCTTCTAAAATCCCACCGCCAGCTGGTTAACTATTAGAAAGGATCCGAATCGAGTTAGAACTACAGGTTCAACTCTTAAGATTTTAAATCCCTGCATCATTATGCCTACACCCCTGATATGAGCTCTTGATACTCCATACATCCTTAATCAATACTCCTGCTTTATTTGATAAAGATTTGCTTAAAAGATATTCAACAGAAATATCATAACTAACCTTCCCTATTTGAAGTTTCACTTCTAATCATGCCAAAGATTAATCCTTTGCTTCAAGTTCTCAGTTAGTAAATTCATCAAGTATAATATGAAAAATTTTGTGGTTGCTTACACCCCGAAAATCTATGTTGTTGTTCCTACTTTCTTCCAGACTTCCAATGTCATCATATACTTTCCCCGTTTTTAATATTTGCAATATTTTATTTTCAAACTTGTTAATGTATGATTCAACCATTAATATATATTCTTGATAAAAAGTAAAATTTTTACAGAGTTGATAAACTGAAAGTATATGTAGAGGTGCATCTAAAAAGATCACATCACCGAAGACAGTCATAATAGAGTGTGCATTTGTATAGGTGCAAGCCGTGCAACCAAAAAAACTGTTGGCACATTCTTTACCCTAAAAACGTTCTACTTCAACCAACCCCATCCTTGGGTTCACCAGAAATCAACCCGTGTGCTGAATTCTGACAAGTCTTGTTTCCAAAGCCTTCATTTTGAGAAAAGTGCCCTACTTAAGAAGTTTAGGGTGCAAAAGGGGGAAAGGGTTTACTCAACCCAATTATTGGTGGCCAGAAAACAAAAAGACTACTAATGGAAACCCATCACCAGTTGACCAACTATTGGAGAAGATCATGATTAAGTTTCAATTACGGGTTCACCTCTTAAGTTTTTAAATTCCTGCATCACTATGCCTGCACCCCTAAAAACAGCTCTATAACTGCAACCCACCGGCACAGCCAAGATATATAAAAGATACTCCATACATTCCTAATAAATACTTCGTATTTGATAAAATTTCATTTTTAACATATTTAATAGATTATCATAACTAACCCTCCCTATTTGAAGTTTACTTCCCAATCATGCCAAAGATTAATCTTTGCTTATTTGCTTCAGGTTCTCAGTTAATGAAAACATCTGGTATAATATGAAATTTTCAAAATTTGAACTTCCTACAGAAAGTAACCTTATTCTATAAGACGGCTTCAATTAGAATTATCGCCTACAATATAACGGATCATCTGATCAAATATACAAAATCCATGCCACGAAACCATTCTTCTGTCACAATGCAGATACTATTGTTCCAAACTGCATTAGCTCATCACAACTCAAATTCTTCCGATTGTGATAGCCTACCTAAGGGTATAACCCCCTTTTTTTAGCATGTTGCTTTCCTTATGCCTAAGTTAGCCAGCCAAATTTATACCATTTGCAACATAAGAAGAATATTATCATCTTCTAAAATCCCACCAAATCGTACTAATTCTTCTACAAAATTTTCCATCTCAAGACTAAATCTTCTGTTCCCATAAACTACTTCTTACCCCCTTTTACCCAATCAATGACCATCAAAAAATGATTGCAAATTTCAACAATAGATAGCAAAATCAACAGAAAAAAAAATGACAATTCAACAAATTGGGCAATCAACACCAAATTCCAGCACAAAACCCATAAAATCAACAACAAATTAAACCCAAAAAAACCAACGAATTAATAAAAAAAAATTGCAATTCATACATAATTGAAGGAAAGTGAGAGATACCCAGATGAAATTAAACAGTAAAAATGACAAAAACATACAAGGGAATTTCTGCAGCAAAGGAGAAGCGACTTCTCGAAGAACCCAGGAAATAACAAGAGAAGAACCAAAGAGACCACAATAAGCAATACGAGCAGACTTCTTTGTGATCCCAGAAGCTACTGATGTGCAACACCCGCACGCAAGAGATGCGCAGCAGGAAAACAAGCACGACATCTTTTTCTCTCTCTTCTGATTTCTGGGTTTTGTTTGTGTTAAGCTTTTTGTGTGCTGTTTTATGATGAGATTAGTTTCTTGATGGGATGAAATAAGAAGTATCTGGAAACACTGACGAGTTCTGTTTTACGGAGTTTGAATTTTGACTTGAATTATTGGAGGATTACAAAACATGTGGCCTTGTATTTCTTCTTTAATCCATGTAGGTTAACCGCTATTACGGCATAGCGTAATATTGACCGCGTCTGTGTACGGGTTACTCATCTAAAATTCTAAATCAATAAGTATTATTCTTATCACAAATTTTTAAAAAAAAATCGGTGTTCATTAATTTAATGAATGGCGGAATTTTTGGACAAGCATCAACTGCCAATTTAGTGGGTTTGGCACGTGCTTCCTAATGATTGCCAAAATAAAGAAAGAAATAGAACTTTTCTCTCTTCATTCATTCACTATAGCTTTCTCTCTCTTCGTTTTTCTCTCTCTAAAAAGCAAGTAACTGGCGATTTCGAGCGTTTTCTCTGTCCTCCATTGTTGATTTTCGAGCTTTTTCTTTCTTCTTTTTCACTGGTGAAGTTGTTATTTGCTTAATTCAGGTTCGTTTACTTATTTTTTTGAGATTTTTGTTAGTTTAAATTGTTTTGATTCTTCGATTTTTAGGTTTTTTGATTTTGTTTTGTTTTCGATTTTCGTAGTGTTGATTCTGCAATGGTGAAGAAGAAGATTACAAAGAAGGCTGTAGATGCTGAAGAAGGTGTGTTTACTTAAATTTTTCATCATTTTTTCAAATTTTTCAATTGAAATTTCGCTTATATATGTCGAATTAGTAGTGCATGTTATTTTTTTATAGTTTTTAGTTGATTTTTTATGCATATTATGATTATTGAATTTGAATTATGAAGTTATTATGTTTAATTTTGCTTTATTTTATTGTTCATTGTATATAATTGATTCAAAAATTTTCTTATTATTCTTCAAATTTTGTATGTTAGGTTTTAGTCAGAGAATGCTAATTAAACTGATTATTTGTTTAGGTTTTATGTTTTAGTTAGATTATGTGTATAATAGGCATATTCGCATTGTGTTTGTGCATCTGTGTTTGATTAACATGCATATATGCATTGATCATTGTGTTTGAGTAATAGACATGTGTGTCATTTATATGTTTTGACAATGTTCACTTTATGATGTTAAAAGGGTGACTTTATGCTGTTAATAGAGTCACTATATGTTGTTAAATGATTAACTTTTTCAGTTAAAAGGGTCACTTTTTACAAAAAAAGGGTCACTTTTTGCATATAAAAGGGTCACTTTATGCATACAAAAGGGTCACTTTATGCTGTTAAAAAGGTCACTTTATGCTGTTAAAAGGGTCACTTTGTGATGTTAAAAGGGTCACTTTATGCTGTGAAAAGAGTCAGTGTATGTTGTTAAATGAATAACTTTTTCAGTTAAAAGGGTCACTTTTTGCATATAAAAGGGTCACTTTATGCTGTTAAAAGGGTCACTTTATGCTGTTAAAAGGGTCACTTTATGCTGTTAAAAGGGTCACTTTGTGATGTTAAAAGGGTTACTTTGTGCTGTTAAAAGGGTCACTTTATGCATTTAAAAGTGTCATTTGTGCACATTATTCTATATTTTTCCATGAGTAATTTCTGAATTTGTATTTATATTACTTTAATAATTAAATACAGGTGGTTCAATAGGTGGTTATCGTTATAAAAAGCCTACAAAAGGAAAAGGAAAGCCTAAAGAGCCTGCTAAGCCTAAACCAGTACCAAAAAAGACCCAGATAGCTCCTGAGAAGAGCAAAGCAGTATCTAAAAAGGCTGGGAAAATTCCTGAGAGTGACAAACCAGAGTCTGAGATGGCCAAAATAGTTCCTAAGAAGGCCAAAATTGTACCTAAGAAAGCTAATACAGTGGAAGATCCTGATTATGAAATGCTTTCTGAATCTGATTCTGGATCTTTTATGTAAGTATACATATTTTTTTATTACATTTTTAATTATATTTTGTTTTTATTTTATATTGTTTTAGTTACATTTTCTTTCTTTTTTTTCTATTTAGGGAGCAAAGAAGAATCATTGCAAGATGTAGACCCTATTCATTGGAAATATTGCTGCAGAACTTTAGTCCTGAGCAAAAACAGGCTGTTGAAGAAATTGGTTTTGGAGGTTTATTACATCTTAAATTGAAAACTCTTAATCGTCAAATGCTACCTTGGCTTGTTGAAAACTCCAATGCTGGTAGCTGCATGTTTACCATCGCTACTGGTAAAGAATTTGTTGTTACTAGAAATGATATATGCGATGTGTTTTGCTTGCCTTAGAGTGATATTTGTGTTCCTGAACTTAATAAAAATTCTGAAGATGAAAGTGTAGATAAACGTATCATTCAGGCATGGAGATCTGATTATGGTCTTTCTGGTAAGCAACCTCTTCATTTGTCAAAATTGGAGTCTAGGATGGTTGATTTGGTTGATGGAGGGGAAGAATTTAAGAGGTGTTTTGTTCTTCAAGCTATGTCTAGATTTTTAGCTCCTACTACTAATAGGACTGTTTCATTGAAGTTGCTGAAAGCTGTTGAAAAAGTTGATGAAATTAAAACTTTTGATTGGTGTTCATATGTTTTAAAAAAGTTAAAGAAGGCTGTTCAGAAGTATAAGGATGATGAAAATGCTCAAAATGTTAGTGGTTGTTTGCTGGCTTTGCAAATTATGTATTTTCATCGTCTAAATTTTCAAGGTGAAAAGGAAAGTAGTACTCTTCCTTTAATTCAACATTGGACGGATGTAAAGATTAAGAAGCGAATTAAGTTAGAGATCAAAGCTGGTGGTTATGGGCAGGGACCATTGGATACTATTACATATCCTGTGTCACAGCTTAATTTTAGGGGAACTGTTTTTAAGCCAGCTCCTACTTTGGGTTATGATAAGGGTCCTTCTACAAGTGGTACCACTGGTCGCATTGTTGCATTTGAGCTTCCAGAAGGTATTATGACCGATGAAGAAATTAAAAAAATTTCAACTGATGTAAGTGTTCTGTTTTCTTATATGTTTAGTTATTATTGCTTTTTGCTTACAAAAGTTATCCTTTTTGTGTACAAAAGTTACCCTTTTTGTGTACAAAAGTTACCCTTTTTTGTGTACAAAAGTTACCGTTTTGTGTACAATAGTTACCCTTTTGTGTACAAAAGTTACCCTTTTTGTGTACCAAAGTTACCCTTTATTTGCACCGAAGTTACCCTTTAGTTGCATTAAAGTTATCTTCAATATTAAGTTAAAAGGGTTACTTTATTCATACAAAAGGGTAACTTTTTTCATTTAAAAGGGTCAGTTTATGCATTTAAAAGGGTCACTTTTAGCATATATTTAGATTTCCTACTTATTTTATTATTTTTATTTGTAACATTTTTTTTTCATTGTTCATATGTTTGTAGGTTGTTCATGAAACGTTTCTTTTAGTTAAAAGAAATATGGATGTTTTATTATTTGTTCAGTCAACTGGTTTTCAAACCTTGAATGATCTGATTACTTCTCGCAGAAGTGTTTCATTATCTTCTGATGATTTTGTTTCAGTTTCTCAAACTGAACTGCTACTATCTGATCCTCATTATTTGAAGATTTTAGATGGTTTAATTGATGAGTGTAATAAAATGAAGTCTGTACATGATATGTTTCGCGGTTTTTATGAACCTACAGAAGGTAACAAAGATTTTGTTCCTGAAAAAGAACCTGCACAAGGTTTCAATGAAAATATTCCTAAGGATGATGACAATGGTCATGGAAAAATAGTTAATGAAGGCCTTAATGGTTCTGGACCTTCTGCTATCATTCCTGGTCCTACTCAAAATATTCCTGTCTGGCATATTGATCAAAATGAACCTCCTAGACTCAGAGCAAATAAATCTCTATGCTCTCTGGACTGTGGACATGTAGGTGTGCAGGTGCCTTTTGTAACTCTTTTTGTAAAGACCAATGCTCGGATTTTCAAGAATTTGCCTCAGTTACATTTGGAAATTCTCGATTATTGTTTGCTGAAGGATGTTTCAATGGATAAGAAGTTAAGTGTCCTTTTTTATTATAATTATTTTTTTATCTGTTTTTTTTCTTATATTTTTTTTTTAATGTTGATCTTATTTTTTATTGTTTCAGTGAGAGCCTTGTTACTTTTGGAATGAACTTTTTAATTCCAAGAGAAGACATGGTGTCCCTTGTTGCTCCACTCAGGATTCGATGATGCGTTATTGATTGCTTCTGTCTGTATTTGAATGAGAAAGCATGTTTTCAGGCTACTAGTCCTCGGAAATTCTTCTTCAGTGTTAGGCAGAGTGTAAGTTATTTCATTCCTTTTTTTATATCTTAACACATTTACTTTATATATATATTATTGAGATCTTATACTTTAATAGTTTTCATTCTTGCATGTTTATGACAATATTGGCAAAGGTAACATATCTAGTGCTGTTAAGGATTTGCACGACATATGGGAAGGTTGGGTTAGCTATGAGAATCCAGAATGTAATATAATGGATGCTGATCTGGTATTTTTATTCTAAACTTAATGTAATAAATTTAAAAGAGTTCTCTTTATGATATGCTCTGTTTAAATCTCTTTAATTTTGCTGTTTCAGATCTATTTTCCCGTTCTTATTGAGAATCACTACATTTTGTATGTTATTGATCATACAAAAGAGTTGGTATATTATCTTGACAACATTATCTGGACTGATTCTGCTCTTGTTTATACAAAAGAATTGTGTTCAAAGATGGTATGTTTATGTTTGTTTTTTTTGTTATGTTACTGTTGATTCATTGTTTCCATTTTAACTTTTTTGATTTTAATGTATTCTAAACTTTTATATTTTATGTCAGTGTGTTCAAATGGGTGCTTTTCTTGGAAAAAGAAATCATCCAAAGAGTTCTCAGCTACCTTCTTATGGTTTTGAAGTTGTTGAGTTGGAATGGAGAAAAGAAAAAGTTGACAATTTGGACTGTGGGGTCTTTGTCATGTATCACATGCTCCATTTTGTTGGTGAATCGTTCAAATTCAATGATCTCAAAACAGTAATTATCTATATAGTTTTTGTAGTTTTTTCCTTTCTATTGCTTTTATTAATTACATATTGATAATTTTTATTTTTTTTTGCTGTTTTGAGATTAATGGAAGGAAATTTTTACAAGGAGAGATCTGTACCACACTGGTACTGTGTGATTTGAATGAATCTAGGAACGATGTGTTGTTAGAATTACACAAGTTCAATGAGAAGAAGAAAGATCCTGCTTATGTCAATGGAATTGAAGAAAGATTAAAGGCTGCAATTGCTGCAAAGAAGAAGAGAGAAACAGAAGAAAGAAAAATGGCAGCAGAAGCAAAAGCAAAGGCAGAGGGAGAAGAGGAAAAGAACAAAGGAAAAAGGGCAAAAAAGCAGGCAAAAAAGTTTACTCCTTCTAAATAGTGAAATAATTGATAGTTGTTAGCTGATTAGTTCAGGGGGTTTTTTTAACAATGAAAAAACTTAATGGATGTGCATACATTAAGTTTAATGATGTAATTAAAAGGTTTATTTTTATGTTTTTTATGGGGTAACTTTTATGCAGAAAAGGGTAACTTTTATTTATAGAAAGGGTAACTTTTATTTATAGAAAGGGTAACTTTTAAGCAAGAAAAAGGTAGATTTTATTGTTAGAAATGGTAATTTTAGCAATGAAAAGGGTTACTTTTATGTAGAAAAAGGGTCACTTCTATTCATGAAAAGGGACACTTTTTTCTGTAAAATAAAAGGGTCAGGGGTTTTATGAATGAAAAGGATAACTTTTAGTGATAAAAAGGGTAACTTTTATTAACAGAAAGGGTAACTATTAGAAAAGAAAAGGTTGATTTAGTGGATAGAAAGGATAACTTTTATGCATGAAAAGGGTCACTTTCATGCATAAAAAGGATTACTTTGTAGCATAAAAAGGGTTACTTTTGTGGGTAGTAATAATAAGTTTATACATGATAAGGTATACTTTTGTGGGTAGATAGTGTAACTTTTATGCATGGAAAGGGTAACTTTTATTGATAAAAGGGTTAACTTTTATTAACATAAAGGGTAACTATTGCTAAAGAAAAGGTTGATTTAGTGGATAGAAAGGATAACTTTTATGCATGGAAAGGGTCACTTTTATGCATGAAAAGGTTCACTTTTATGCATGAAAAGGGTTACTTTTATGCATGAAAAGGGTTACTTTTATACGTTAAAAGGGTAACATAAGTTGATGTGTTCCAATAATTAAACATGTGCTAATAAAAGTGTCAATCACATTTTCATTAAACTAGTCATAGAGTAAAAAAACAAAAGAAAAATAGTTTAACAATACAAGGTATATTAATTTCGAAAAAAAAAAATGTTCTAAAAAAGATCTTAAAAGAGTCGTAAGTTAGGTGTCTTTGATCCAAATTCTGAATTTGGAGGTGGCAGTGCTAGTTTTCTTTTTCTCTTGCTTTTTTCAAGTCCTCCTTTTGCTCTCTTGCTTCTTCCTTTTGTTACAGCCATTTTAGGATCAAGAATTATTGGTACACATGTGCTTGTACTCGATGCTGAAGAAGCGTCAGTATTGCTTTGAGTGTTGTCTGCCACATCAGGAATGTTAGAAGCAGCTTCTGCACTTTCTTTCTGAGCAGCACTAGCAAGTAAGTCTTCCACCATTTTAAGACTGTTTCTGAAGCTTTCTTCCATAAATGCTCTTGTCTCTTCATTTTCTTGACTTTTTAAGATTAGATTGTAGTATTTCCTCATCATTGTTTGCCTCCATGGAATATATTGCTGTTTAGGATCCTGATTCTTCAACCTATCCCATGCCTCTGTTTTTGCAAACTTAGTCCATCTTTTTGAAACATACTTGTCTGGTATTCTTGTTACTGAATGCAAATGTAGAATTCTGATGCAATGATAACATAACCATCCAGATGCTTCGAAGTTTTTGCAAGTAAACCATACAGTTTGGCTCTCTTGTATATAGTTTACTTTATGTGCAGACCATGGCTTGTCTTCTAGTGTTACTTGATAAAGTAGGCATTCTTCATTACTGCCTAACATCTGAACAGTTGTTGCCATAGAGTATCCAAACTCCTCTTCAAAATTTCTAAAGAGTGATAAAGTGAAAACCTGTACATCAAAATCATGTAGCTTCATTTAAATTGCCATATATTAGGTGTAATTTATGTACTTGTCAGTTAACTTTTTACCTGTGCGGCATGCTTTAGCATTCCAGATAGAGGCAATGAAGTGAATTCTATTGACTTGCTACAGGTAAACTCATCATATTTCTCTGTGCTTCTCCAACGATTAGTTGTCTTCTTAAATATGGTATAAAATTCTGTCAAAGTAGTTGCTTTACTTGCTCTGAATCCTATGGCATGATTAGTGCTTTCACTCCTTTGTGACGATAAGATCCCTGCTGAAAAGAAATCTTTACAAAGGGAAGGACACCATTTGTCTTTCAACTCATACACTCTTTTGTACCAAGAGTGTTCTGTCAACTCATCTTTAAGCACTGGTTGAATGCAAATTTGAAATCTTTGTCTTTTTTAAGAGCTCCAAATCTGGTTATGGCATTTTGCTCCAAATTCCATATACAAAGTCTATGTCTTGTATTAGGAATCACCTGCATTGAAAATAAAGGGGTCACTTTATGCTGTTAAAAGGGTTACTTTATGCACTAAAAAGGGTAACTTTATGCAGCTAAAAGGGTAACTTTATGTGAAAAAGGAAAACTTTATTGTCATAGCTCAAATCTGTAAGATGTCAATATAAATCTTTTACCTCTAGTATAGCATTTGCCATTGCTTGGTCCTGGTCAGTGAATATTGAAGTTGGTTTTCTATCCTCCATAGCTTTGAAGAAGGTTTGTAGTAACCACACAAATGAATCTGTCGTTTCATCCCCAATAAAAGCACAAGCAAACATACAATTATGACAGTGGTTATTTATGCCAACAAATGGAGCACATATAAGATTATATCTGTTGGTTCTGTATGTTGTATCAAAGACAAGAACATCTCCATATATCCTATAGTCTTCTAGCATCATTGAATCTCTCCAAAAGATATTGCAAACTTCCTTCTTTGTCAAACTTCACTCTAAAAAAGAAGTTTGGATCCTCTGATTGTTCCTGACTTAAAATGTTCACTAAAGTTTGAGCATCTCCAGCCTCAATTTGTTCCATTCTTAACCTTGAGCAGAAATTCAGGTGATCTACAAAACTATGGCCTATATTCTGTTCTCCTCCAGCCTCTGTAGCCATGTAATTGTAAGTGTCCATTGTAGTTAGACCTGAAGATTTCATTGTTTTGATTGTTACAACTTTTTCCTCTGTCATTTTTCTTTCAGAACGATGCAAATAATGCCACTGTGGCTTTGTTAGCTCGTGGTTATGCTGAATAACATGAGCCACCACCTCAAACTGTCCTTCTTTATTCACTTTTGCTCTTATGCATGCCTTGCAATTTGATCTTGTAATGGATACTTGTCTTGGCTTTCTTGTTTTTACATTTACATCCTCTTCATCAACCATTTCAACTAACTTTGTTTTCTTCTGACCTGAATGTCTCTTTCCTTCAGCAGAACACACATAATTTTTCTCAGTTACTATTTTTGTGTGTTGTTTGAATCTAGTTGTATGTTTTCTTATTGAAAACCCCAGTATAGCAGCATGGTTTTCATACAATTCCAAAATTTCTTCAAAAGTTTCTCTTACCACACCAACAAATGATCCTCTAAGATCTAAACCATAAGCATCAATTGGATTTGTATCTGTTATTTAATACAAACAAATTAGATAATAACCACAGACAGCATAAAAAAAAAGGGTAACATTCGTTTGAAAATAGGGTAACTTTTATGCATGAAAAAGGTGACATTTAGGCATTGAAAGGGTTACTTTTTGCATACAATCTGAATTTTCAGCATACAATCTGAGTGTAACATTTGAGCATAAATAGGGTAACTTTTATGCATGAAAAAGGTAACATTTAGGCATTCAAAGGGTTACTTTTTGCATACAATCTGAATTTTCAGCATACAATCTGAGTGTAACATTTGAGCATAAATAGGGTCACTTTTAAGCATGAAAAGGGTAACATTTAGGCATTCAAAGGGTTACTTTTTGCATGCAATCTAAAAAGTTCTGCATTCAATCTAAGGGTAACATTTAGGCATAAGTATGGTCACGTTTATGCATGAAAAGGGTAACAATTATGTATTCAAAGGGTTACTTTTTACATACAATCTCAAAAATTCATAGAAATTACCTTCAGTTGCATCTGATTTGGTTGCTTGTTCTGAATTTGAATCAATTGATTTATTAGGAACCACTTGATTTTCTGCATTGTGAATTGCGTCTTCTGCATTCTCAATTGCTTCATCTGCATTATCGATTGCTTCATCTGCATTGTCTGGATTGTTGAATATTGGTACGAATTCATCTCCAAAACAATTAGTTTCTTCTTCTTCTATAATCGATCGATTTAAATCGATTTCAAATTCAGTCTCAATTTGCCTCTGTTTTTGTAGCAATTCGTGAATGAGATTGCTGCAATTTGTTGTATCGAAAGTCGAATTCTCCATTGATGATCGAATTCTGCAATTTGTAAGTTTTCTCACTTTCTTTGTCCTTAATTGATGATCGAATTCTTCTATTTGTGCGTTTTCTCACCTTTTTTCTCCTCGATTGATGATCGATTTCTGCAATTTTTGTGTTTTCTAACCTTTTTTTCTCCTCGATTGATGATCGTTTTCTGCAATTTTTGCGATTTCTCACTTTCTCTCTCCTCAATGGATGATTGATAGCTGCGTTTTCTCACTTTCTCTCTCCTCCATTGTTGTTCTGCGTTTTTTTTTTTATTTTTAGGTATTTGAAATTCTGCGATTTTTTTTTTTAAAAAAAGCATGTGCGAAAACCCGATGTACAGTAAAAATACTGTACACCGGGTACATGCAAATGGGATTGTATTCTTATAAACAAATGTGGCCACATAAATGACTTGATGTTTAAATTTTTCTTAATACGTAGTACATTGTTTTCAAAAAATTCTACGTACTCCGTATCATTACTTGGTGTATTTTACTTTCTTATCTGAGTGTCTCACACTCTCACATTGGAAAAAAAGAAGAGGTGGTATCACTTCATAAACTAGAATTGTTATTCATAGTAATTCTACGTATTGTTAATTGGTTTAGTATGGACCGAATTGTTTTTTTTTTTTTTTTTTTGAAAAAAGTGTGGACCGAATTGTTATTCCTCCTTTGTTTAGGTTGTCTATCTTTAATTGCCGCTCCGTACTAGATAGAGATAAATACATGGTCTCACTAATAAATGTGTCTACATTTATTACACTTTTCTCTTTTTTGAATAATTTTTAATAAGATTCCACTAATTAAATTTCTCCATGCATGATTTCAATTTTTAATCATTCTCTTTTTCCAATCACTACATTAATACATTGTCCCTTTTTCTTCTTTGTCAATTTTTTTTTTTTGAAAAGTTAAACTAATAACACGTACATACTTTTTTCTAATGAAATAGTATCGTATCGATTTATTTGAATACGAATGGTCTGAGCCAATTTGATATAGCCAGCAATAAATGTCAAAATACTTAATCCACCTAGTCTAATCAAATATTCAAATGATCTACCCGAATCATATATGATATTTTCCACACCCAAATCAATTGTATTAAATACTCCAATAATGCATATGAACACATCTTTTTCACATGATATTCTACCTTATATGACATATACAGCAAAGCCTTACATTATTTCTTGTACCATATCATATACCCCGGTCAAAATTATCCCTCATTTTCTTAGAAAACATAAATAGGTTCGTAGTATTAGTAACTGTTACGAGCTCAACATCTCTCTTAGACATAAAATCAACGTGACTAATACATAAATACTGAAGCAAAAGAGAAATCACTAGCATAAAGTGTGACTGAGTATTGTAAGAAACAAAGACTTGCTTCAACGAGAAGAAAATGGATGAACCAAGATGTTCATGGGATGATGTCTTGGTTTATAATCAAAACAATCAAAGGTGGCCTGATTGGCTTCCAAATGATTGGTGCATTCATCGCGTCATCAACACTCCTGAAAACCAAATGGTAATTATTTTCTCTTTAATTTAAATTGTAATTTATTTTGTATTAGATTTAATCGTTTGTTTAATTTTATCATTTTTTTCATGCATAAAAACTAATCTTTCTGTCTATATAACATTAAAAGACTTTTTTTGTATTAAAAATTATATTTATTCATAATGGTTGATACAAAATTATTGTATTTGTATGTAAAGAAGACATTTTTTAAATTGTTTACATGTATCTTGATTAATTGGAGACATCAAAGTCATTAAACAAGTTTATTATCTCTAATTAATTCTTAGAAAATGATGTTTTGTTAGTCTAAATTCCCTCAATATATGTAGATCACATTTGAAAATTTAGGCTTTTACTGAAAATTGGTAATTCTGATGAAACTTGATTAAAAATCTTAAGATTAAGGACCTTTTTGCTAGCCAAAACCCCATCGCCAAGCTATGAATCTCAAATTTGTGCTAAAACATGGATCAAATATAAATAGCCGTTAAATTTATACCCGTATATAGCTTGGATATGTACAAGTACAACGACACTTATTTGGTTTTATTTTAAAAAAGGCGCGTAAAGTGCTTTTATTTAATTTTGGAGCCATTAGTTATTGTACACTTTATTATATATCCTTATTTGCTTCAATTAAATCTTTCAGCAATTGTCTTAAATCTAATCACGCCTTTTTGTATAGTCTTACTCAAATCCAAAAGGCAAAAGTTTTCACTCTATGTAGGAGGTTGTTCAATACCTAGCTAAAGAAGCAATGAAACCGGTACCACCGATGCCTAGGCGAACCAAGAGGAAACTTAATGGTAATTACATAGTTTTATTTAGTAATTAATTAATATATTTCTCTTGTATAATTAGAGGGTTTTCTCCAAATAATAATGACATTTTTAATTAATGTAGCTATAATTAATTATTGTGGCTTGGTATTTTTCCATGAATTTTAAATGACAAATAAAGTTGAAGAACAGATTCCCGCAGAAGAAAATGAACCACCAGTTATTGTCAATCCACCACAAGACTGGCCTAATTGGTTGCCACACGACTGGTACATTGAGCGAAGTTTTGCAAACCCTACTAATGTGGTAATTGTATTAGTCCAATTCAATAATTTGTCATTTTTTAGCTAATTATTTTTTTCTAATCAATGCAAACATTGTAGAATAATTTAAGTGTAAATTCAAGGCAAAATCAATTATTCATGAAATAATAAGATAGAAAAAATATTATTACGTGAAATAATATATAATCAGTGTAAAATAATCACTTTGAATTGTTTATTTATTGGTAAAAATAGTTTGTTTATATGGATCGTACCTTTTATCTGAAATTTATCATAAATTATCTAAAGTTAAAAATTTGAATTTGTGCCTGACTAAGGTAAATTTGTATACAATTTTTTTTATCATAATTATTTCAAATTTCATTATGCCTTTTCATCACATTTCTATGATTATGTACTAATCTATGACAAGTAATGATATAATTAGATGATTTTACGTGATTGTGCAGATTTACTGTAGTCCTAAATGGAAGAGGTTTCAATCCAAGGAAGAGGTTTTTCATCATCTCGATATCGAGGTGAAGAAGAAGAAACCAAGGATTGGATGAAGAAGGTTAGTTTTAAAGTCTAGTAACTATTGTTATATTGTATGTTTCGTATACTTTTCTAATAATTTATATGGAGTTTACCACTAGGTAATCATTTTTTGTAATTTTCTTTTCAGGCAAA